TGTTATCAGAAATCTGTTAACATTTTTCTATATAAATTTTTCTTGCATCGCACAGTGGGGTATTTGCCTGATCTGAGCGGCCAACACTAAAAACAGATTTATATCAAGTTTTTACAACAAAATATGGGAATATAATATAACAATATATAATAATATGCAATTATATGGCATATAACAATAAATTTATAAATATAAATTATATATAATTTCATATATTTGATTAAAAATTTTATCTTTATATATATGATATATTACATAATATAATATACAATAATGTAATATATTTAATTATTTATTTACATCATAAATAACATATAATTGTTTAATTTATTGATTTTCTGTAAATTTTCTATACGAGTGAGCAAAATTAAAAGATCACAAAAGTTTCGTTGAAAAATTACTGAAGTTGGAAATGATATAAATTTATCAGAAAAAAATTTGTTTCGAAACATTAAACTTAATAACCTTAGAAAGTGGCTTTCCAAAACACTGTAGACCGCGACGCGCGACCGGTCGCCTGATTTGCGGCGCACCGCGGTAATGAAATGCTCTCTAGAACAAAAAGGCGGACATATGCGCAAGATTTTACTTTTGGATTACAATCTTAAAAAAATTCAAAATCATTCCCGAAGTAGTACAAGTGTAAGAAACGTGAATAATGCATTAGTTATATTAAAATATGAATATTTACAAAAAGGTTCTTGGTAAAAAGGAATTTCGAGGAATTTCAAGAGTAAAACGTATAGCCGAAAAATGTCTAACTTGCAACAAAGCTCAGCACTTTCCGAGTGCTCCAAGGATAAAAAGATTATTAGGACATTATTCGTCGCATATTCAGTTATCTCAAACAGCAAAAATTTTACGGTTTAGGTAAAATTTTTAAAATTGACTTTTGGCCGTCTGGATCGTGCAAATACTTTTAATATCTTTTATCGAACAGAACACGTATACGTAACCAAAGATCTTTATTAATTCTTAACTATACGTAATCCTGCAGCAAGTATCATTTCAATTTATATCAATTGATTGTCCATATTCCATATAAAACACTTACAACATAGTATTATACAAGATGACCACCTTTTGACTTGTAACGCCAGTTATTAAATCAATGAAAATTATAATAAACATAAACTTTAGACGGAACCGTTCGATGATCCCATTGCGTACAAAGGCGAGGTGATTGTCGGTTTGAAATTCGTGCCACCGGATCCCACGCAACAGGACCGCGATCGAGAAATTGGATCGGATCGCGCTGCCTCGAAATGGAAGAAGAACTGGAGTCGCGGAGCGTTGCACGTGCTCGTTAAGGAAGCAAGAAACTTGCAAACGAGAGGAAAGAATTCAGGCACATGTGATCCGTTTTGTAAAAGGTATTCCCCTACATTTCCATAGCTACAATCTGTTCAGCGATTCGGGTCGATAATTATAAACAAAGATACATGACACCACCACTTAAGTGAAATAGAATTAAATATTTCTCGATTAACTAGTTGAGGAAATACATTGCTGTTCTGTTTATTTGCACTGACTTGTCTCCTTAAACAGATGACAGACAATGCTTATTGATAAAAAAAAAACTATTTTAAATAAAGACACTTTTTAGGATACTCATGTTTGTAATCTATTTAAGTAAACTCAAAGTTCCAGAAAAATGTATTAAAATAAAACTAAAATGCAATCTCTATCCTCATTAGAGTTGTTGCTTCAATGTGCTCTTTAACTTTATACTCAGAATGCATAATATACATTCTAATATTTTATTGTAATAAATCATTTATAATTATCTAATTTTTATTATATTTAATAATACTTATTTCAGCGGGATTTTTAAATGCTATAATTGAATGAAAAGTAAATACTCTTTCAAAATTACATGGAAGGGATTACAGATTACTTTATTATTCTATTACTCAACTGATTATTTCATTCCTATACTTTGTCTTCTGCTTTTTGCTTATTGAAGAATATAAAGAAATGAGTTATTTAAAATAAATATAAACACTAAACGGAATAAATTATATATATATCATAATACAATTCGTATACCTTAATTATTTTTGTACATTCTAGACCTTTAATAAAGACGTAAATATCTATACTTAGATTTATAGAATGTATAGGGTAGGAGATTAATTTTGAACATCTTTAACGGATTTACTGTTTTTTTTGTTTTTAGTTATTTACTACCTGACAAGGGTCGATCAGGAAAACAAAAGACTGGAGTGGTTCGTAGATCTGGTGGCTCACCAGTATGGGGTCACACTTTCATTTATAAAGATGTGAGTTTACAAGAACTGGCAGAACGTGGATTGGAATTAACAGTCTGGGATCATGACCGTATTGCTAGCAACGAATTTTTGGGTGGAGTTCGATTTAATCTAGGAACAGGTATGATATATTTAAAAGGAACTTACGTCACCTTGATCCTTTACGTACATGTCCCTATTTTAAGAATGTTGATATCTACAACATATTTAAACATCATTGAAATCGAGGAGGAAGTGGCTTTCTGGAACTTCATCAAAGTTTGATGAGAAAATGTTACATTACAATGATCCTTTGTCAGATTTTCTTTCATTGTGTTCCTTGATTGTTTTAATATAAGCACAGGCATTTGAGTGAAAAAAGGATTACGTATTTCATTATTAGCGAACAATTATTATCGTTAAGGACATACAAATAACATAATTAAAATTTTCAGGGAAGCATTACGGAAAGCCAGTAGATTGGATGGACGCTACCGGTCGCGAGCTCTCATTGTGGCAAAGTATGATTGAAAGACCCAATTTCTGGGTAGAGGGTGCTGTCACGTTAAGACCTAATCTGCACAATCATGGAAAGAACAGCGGCTCTTAGTAATCTCGATGATTCTCATCATAATCACATGAGTGACAGATTTTTGCGTGTCAACGAAGTCGGAAATAATTCGGCCTAGGTTAACTCAAATGTACATACGTGGCCTGTATTAGTGCGCCAAACGGTGAATAGATCGAAATGTGATTCTCGGAATGGAAATTAGTGCCTTTTGGGAGCATCGTATCCTGTCCAGGACACAGTCTAAATTTCTAGCGATCGTTCGCCGTTGACGGTACAGAAAATGATCGTTGCCAATATGGCGGACTACTGCCTGGTATACACTTACTTACATACTTAATTTAAAGAAGTTACAAATGATCGAATCTTAATTTTTCAATTAGTACTTATATTTACGTCGAGTTTAATTTGTACATGATATAGTTAATCGTTCTAGCTCTATTGTAGTTTTCATTTCTTAAGTATCTTATTCTCATGTTTTAAGTTTCTCTTTCACATTCTTTCGTTCGATTCGTTCTCGCGTTATTTTCTCTGCCCTCGGTGTCTATGTCCTATTTTTACAAAGTAAGAAGACACTAACTAAATAACAAATGAAAATGTTGATTTACTGAGGGTTAGGGTTAACGCGCAGAATACGTGCAATACGTTGAAGGAAACGTACTTCGTCCTTCTCCGACAAATTTAATGATAGTAAGCGATTGCGAAGCAATTCTTCACAGGCATCCGTCCAACCGTCAGGCGAGATGACCAATCGAATATTTACCGTGCGTGAGCATTCTTCGTGGCCAAGCGAGTTATTCACGAAACAAAGAAGAGATGATAAGAAATAATTGATACCACTGCATTTCAAATATTCACTTCTGAAAAACCAAGATTCAATAACTGTTTTTTCTTTCTTTCTATCATTTTCGTGCATGCACGTCAACTACCGAATCTACTATTTTATTCTATTATTTATTTAACGGGGACAGAGAGCTTTATCTAACAAATATAAATAAAACGAATCACTCAACTGCCAAAAGAACAAAAAATAGAACAAGATCAAGAAGCTCTAATGTTTGAAATGCAGTGGCTATTGTAGACACTTTCCTTTCTTGGAGAGAAAGATGCTTCCAGTGTTGTACAATACTCTCAATAATTTTCCTTGCGTCAAACATTGCTAAGTTCACGGAACGGTGTATTTAAGAAATTAAATATGACCGGTTCCGAGTACTTACTCACGTATTCATATAAATGTTATATTTATATATTCTTGTAGAATTAGTAAAAATGTGGTATAAATCATGGGACTATGAATGAGCTTTTTCAGTGTTGAAATTCATAGGAAGTCAGTATTTAATGTACAGGCAGTTCTCAATTTTTAATCAAAATCGGTCTTAAAAAATGAAAACATTTAGAAAAACAGTTATAATTACTTAATATATGATCATCAAATGTTTCATTTTCTGATTCAGGTACGTTATTTCTGTATAAGTTACTTTGTGCAAATGTAAATGAATTTTAAAGAGAATTCTGTTTATTCGTTCTGTTAACCTTTTCAATGTCAACTTTCGATATAATACACGTTTGTGATATTCATCTATTCTAATAATAAAACAATGTATATATTTGTAAATAAATTAGTTACTTGTTTTCTAAATGTTACACTACAATTTATAATTTCATTTTTAAACGATACAATTGTCAATAATGTTTAAAGATTTTAATTCAAAAGTATTGAATGCTGAAATGTGCAAACAGCAATAAAGTACTCCACGTCTGCAAGATTAATTTGTGAGAAGTATTTAGTATAGAGTTTGTTAACACATGTGCCTGAAAGGATTGGTAAATTACTTTTATTTTATAGTACAAAATCAGAAAGCACGTAATAAATCACACAACACTAGTGAATGGTAAACAGTTTTATTATTTTTAGTAATATTTTCTATATTTAGAAAACAACTTAACCCATCAATGGTAGCGTATGGATAACAAAAAAATAACTGTATTACTGGCAATTTCACGAATGATTAATTTGTCGTACAATAATGATTAAAAATGTATAAAGTAATACGATTATATAATAACATTTACTTAGCACAGCGAAGAGCGTAAAATTCCTAGTGCGAAGTGATTGGGTAAGAAGTTAATGCAAATTGTTTAAAAAATGTTTACTTCAAAAATTAAAAAATGTATCTTTACTTGCTAACGCTCATGGTCAAAAGTAACAGAACAATTACATTGAAAAGCTTTGTAACATTACCACGGGAACATACACGAAAATCGATGTTGATCAGTTAAAAACAGCCGTTTTTCTTAATATAATGGAGTAGCAAATTTTATACTAAACTCTTCCCTGCATTTACGCGGAGTATTCGTTCCACATAGATTCGTTTACGCGAATGAAAATCATGCAAACAGAGTTTGCTCGTACAAAAGGAAACAAAATGCTGGACAAAAAAGCTGGTATAAGTTTTAAAAATACATACTTATTTTGCCCAGCTTAACAAACAGATAATAATAATGACATTTCCGAAAACAAAAGTCAATTTTGTTCGGTGTCACTAAATTCAGATCGCATAATAAAAATCTCACATAAATGCAGGGCTAAGTGTAGTATAAAGAGAAATTTATATATTTGATTGATGGTTTTATGAAGTTTCAAATAAATTAAAATATTTACCGTACTTTATTGAACTGTTAAGCACATTAATTTTGATACAGTTAAAAACAATTTCTGATTAAATTGATTTCAATTCCGTTAATTAATTTCTCAAGATTTCATGTTGATAGAGCACTGCCTGTACTTGCCATTAAAATACTGATGTATCTAGACATTTGTAATTCCATTATATGAGCGTATCTGTCAAGACGAACCAGAAGGCTGACGTACTTAACGAGTTTGGTATTTTGTACTTCCCCGATCACGCAATTGGTCGAGTCATCGGTCATCGCGCATAGCTATATGGTATAATTGCATCGCTTATCCTATAAATGGCGGTGCCCGGGTCTATTTCAACCCAGATTTATAAGAACTCCGCCCAGTTTCTTTATTTATTGTAACTTTCTTGAACTGACGGTTATTTATATTAGGTCTAAAGAGAAAATTAACATCCATCAAGTGTGTTCCAGAAGAGACTTAGAAAAAGAACCAAGTATCGGTCGAAACAGGCTCAAAAGTTATTGCCTGTATGGCTGTCAAAAATGTTTACCTTCGTATGACTAAATTATAAGACTCATCCCATATACAGGGTTAAAAAAATCGGAACTATAAACTGCCTTCGACATAAGTTTATGTGAATAATTTTCGTAATGCAACGAAATGCGAGTCTAGTAGAAATTTTTTAATCATCTGTTCAAAATAAGGTTACTTCTGTTTAATGAACATGATCATTAAGAATCAGAGGTTGTTTGTACATTAAGGACCAATAACACTAAATAAACAGTAAAAGTCAATAAGTAAGGAAGGAGGAAAAACATATTAACACATTATGGACCATTGTTCTTTTCTTAAAAGACTTCCTATACCTCTTGCTAAAAATTAAGAATGCATAAAGAGTTTGAAACATCTATTCACCTCTGTGAATTACTAAAAAAGAATCTAATATAACTTTTCACAATGTATCTATTATTCGGATGAATGTGAACAAATTCTTGTTGCTGCATTAAATAAGGAGCATGGTAATATTTTATCACATTTCACAACTTCCATAGCTTTTCTTGTGCAGTATGTCTGAAAATATTATATTTACATTAATTCTTTAAGGCGCAGAGACCAAGGAAGATTCATTATTAATACAAGAAATTAAATCTAACTTTTGTATTTTTGTCTCGTTTTACATGTTTAATAATAATAGAATGTGATTACATCTTTTATGGGAATATTTACATTGTATACAGAATGTAAGGTACACTTACAAATGAATGCCCTTTGAAAGATTATTTCAAATGTTTAAATAAGACGTAAATTCAGAATGAAAAACTTACGAGCTCCGTTTCATTATCAAATTATTAAGTATTGAAAATCGAAGATATTTTTACTAACTATAACAATTTGCTAATAGCGATACTCAAGAGTAACAACGGTAGAAGCACAGTTAGTAGTACACTGTGAGAAATTACGCATCTAAGAAAGTTGCGATCTACATCTTTATGTAACATTTTTTAAAATATTTTTTACATTATCATTGCACGGCGTTAAACTTGTTCCTTCATTGAAATTCGTTAGACTATATCAATACTGATTATTGTGTAATTCATGAGTGATATACCCAAATTTGACGAGTTAATTATAAAGGTAATCATTTAAAAATATCGCTGAGTATAGTGAAACGAAAGAGTATAAAGCAAATTGTAAATATTTGAAGACGACCAAAATAACGTGTAGGGTCGGTAATGTCAATGACACTAAACCAAAAGTTAGATATTTTTTTCTGCTTTGTTGTCGAACTAGTTTAAATGAACGTCGGTCAAATTTTTGTATTTTTTTAAAACAGAGCTACGAAATACATGGTACGTGACATCGTTAAATCTAACAAAAACTAATAACTACTGCTTATTATTAAAATACAATGTTTTCACGTTGAACGAGATTGCCCGACCGACTGCCCTAGGCTCCGACACACCAGGGAGGCTTGTGGCAGACGAACTGTCATAACTGCTCCCCAATTCCATGGGATGAGCAGTTATCGCAGCAAGGAGTTCGAAATTGTGTTGCCTTAGTGAACGGAGCGAGCCCAGGATGACCGCCTTCTACATTTCGCATGCAAGAGCGACAGCGTGTTTCTGGCAGGCCGAAATGATCTTTCATATTAAAATATGAACTGAATTCAAAAACAAGAATATATTTTGGAAACAATTTTAAGAATTTTGTAACCAAAATCTTGTATTAAGTTTGTATATTGATAATATAAATTCATGCCACACGCCTAACCGTTTCCGTTTCCGTTTCCGTTTCTGAACACCGAACGCTCACAGCAATAAGCGGTGCTCATGTGAAATGTATATGAAGAAATAAAATGGTAGATCTACTTACCTTATATGCTATACACCTTACTGTGTATGATTCAAAATTTTAAACGTTTATTTATGTTTAATTATGCTTTATTAATACACGTATAAAAAGATAACATCTATAAGATAATAATTCAAACAAATGCGACGTCAGGCACGTAGGTAGGATCTTTGTCATGATTATACATATGACACGTATTAAAATCAAAAACTTTGTGCAACTATTTGATATTGAACTTACTCTACGCGACTAACTGCTGTTTTCGTCATTCATTAAAGAAACAGGGCCGTAATTTAGTTCGAAAAATACTTCTCGACTCCACTGGGTTCACGTTCATAGATCATTGTTCGATATAAATCGGTTTCCTTCGGAATTCTTCCCGGAGTATCGATACTTACACTTACCGAATGCACCTAAAACAGAATGAAATAACAGATTTATTATAACACAATAACATTTAATTGCAATTAACCCCTCGTACAATACCAAACAACATTATCTAGGTTATCAAGGTATCAGCATTCAAAGTTGTCGGTTCGTCGGTAGTGATTCTATCTTTTCAACTTATTTTTTTATATAAATTTAAAGTCCCACAATTTTATGGAATTTAACTAATCTTACCAAGCGAAATACAAAGAAAAACAGAGAACCAAAAGATCTAGAATGTCTGAAAGATTTAAAAGTACACAAAATCATATCGCGAACATATACAACTCGTAGTTTAGATAGTCAATATGTATGTTTGGTTTATTCGTGTACACGCGAACATGTAAATTAATTATTGGAAATGCAAAAGAACGTTTCAAATGAAACTTCTTTGGCGTAATGAAGGAAATCTAATATTTAATCAGATTTCGAAGCCACTGTAATTTTCTTTAAATGGAACTATGCATCTTCATTGATACAAATTTGTTTTGTCTTTCAAAACGAAGTTAATGCGTCAACTATTTTAGTAAATATTCATAGTAATCGTCAACTTCTGTAGATCGTTTCTTTCTTTCCTTTCTTTTTTCTATTCCTTCTAAATTTCCAAAGAAACCGTCTTTCGACAAGGTTACCGTTTTTTGTTATTACCTCGGAAACTCGTGAATACCCGGAAACTGTTACTGAAAATATGGATTTGAATATAATCGAATTATATTCATCGATAAGGAACTACAGTCACCTATTTTCCGAATAGACAAATTTCGGAAGTTATGATTTTATATTTCACAGCCTCCTTTACACCTTCCAAATGTTACATCATTCAAGCATAAAACATCTTTTAACTTACAAAATTTGTATTCTTTTCTTCACGTTGATTTTTTCCGAAACTAAGAACAATAAGAGAAAGAAAGATATACAGGCTCGTATTCAGTTCACGAAAATCTGTAAAAAGAAGCTACCGTTAACCCTTTGCACTCGAGAATATTTTTCTCAACAAATATTCATTATTTTCTGATAAAATATCAATGACATGTTTTACAACTAACATAAAGAAATACCCTGTATAAATTAAGTGACAGAACTAGTTTATTTCGATGTTCCATGTGTCGATACATTATATAAAATTTGATAGTGAATTCTAAATCTGATCATTTTGTTCGGTCAAATCAAATGGCGATTGAAAGGCGCCGCTCGAGTGCAAAAGATTAAATGTTATAAATTCGACAGAAGATTAACATTTGTTAGACAGTATTTTATCGTTCAGTTAAGTTAAATCTGACTGAAACCGCTATATAATGCAATTAAAGATTGTACCTTTGTGATCATGAGGATTCCGAATTGATGTTGGGAGAGGAGTGTAGTGGATGTTGAAAAATATATCATCCATATCGTCTACCGTGTTCGATATGAATGTCGTGGAGAATTCGGGTGCCAATTTCACGGTCCTCGAATATTTTCCTCGAATTTCCGCATCGATTCTCTCTTGCTGCGTTACTGGACGCGAATCTAGGAATCGAAGACTCGGAGGTAACTCATATACCGCATACAGCCTGTAACGATTATAATCCTCTTCATCTGTGGATGGATTGGTCAACTGGTCAGGACATCCCGGATTGCCCAACAGACTCACGTACACCAGATTCGGGCAACACTCTTGTATTCTTTTTAATACGGCATCGATGTAAGATATCTAAACGTAGAAACAAATTAACTAATAAAAATAGTACGTCTGAAACCGTTACAAAAGAGTTACCTACATAGAATTATTTGCTTAAGTTACATTTTCTATTAGCACTAGAACTACCGAGCATTTAATACGGTTAATATGTAATCCGTATAAAAATTGTAACAATAGATTATTGTCAGTTTTTTTAGACAACCATTATAGTATTCAAATGAAACTATTTATTTTCAAGATCATTTCAATTATTGAATGCTTTTAAGATATTAATAATTGCGAAACAAAAAGATCAAAATCAGTAATTTTAATTGGTACGGTAGTTCTAGTGTTAAGATTACTTTCTTTCGCACCTAAATAGCGCTATTTATCCACTTTATTATCGATATGTACTGATTTCCCAACTCTGGAAGTTAAGATATTAATCCAATTGAACACTTATTGGACCATTTAGACAGAAACGTATCCAAGAACTGCACAATAAGATATTGTTTCAAAGAGCATTATCAAAAGCGTGAACAGAAACAGACCAACAAACAGTTAACAAATTAGTTGAAAGTATGCCGAGAAGGCTTCATGAAGTCATAAAAAACTGAGGATACCGAACTTCATTTAATTGTCTGATTTCAGTCGTTTTAAATTATATTTCTTTACTTATGATCTTTTGTCAACATACTTTCCGCGCATGGTTAGTATAAAAAGTATATTGTTTTTTAGCAAATAATAATCATGCGTAGTTCATCGTATTATATAAAACTCTAAACTATACAGGATAAATGATTGACAAATATTAATCAACAGTATATAACAATAATAATATTTGCCAATTATTTATCCCGTGTACTTTGGATTTTTCATTTGGAAACAAAAACCGCATTCTTTTAAATTGTCAACTTACTTTTCGCATAAGTATATACAGCCCCTTACCATTTGCAATCCACCTCCGAATTTGATAACGGTAGGAAATTTGTTATGTTTATCGCAGTATTTGATTTCTCCCATACATTCATTTTTCCATTTGCTTTGAAGATATTAACATTTTTCTACAAGTTAAAAACTGCTTTTATGTATATATTTTGGGAAATTTATACTATTACTTTCTACTATGTATATACATGTGATATCGGGCACAGCAGACGGCGTTGCAACGAAGAGTGGCACCCTGTAGCGCGACCTCGGCGTCGTCCAAGCCGACACTCTTCGACTATTATAGGACGAAAAGCAGAGTTTAAGTTGTTAATTTTAACCCTTTGAACTCTGTAGGCTCCAATATTGCACCAATTCCAATATTAAATATTTTAATGAATTTAAAAAAAAACTACCTTCAGATTATTAGATCTTCCAGATATACAAAGTTTGTAGTGAGAAGGGAATTAAAGGTCTAAGAAATGTTGTAACATTATTAATTTTCTGTACGACTATCATCAAAATTGGTAGAAGTTGCTGACACGTTATGAAACCATCTAGAGTGCTAAGGGTTAAGGAACTACGTGCGTGTGTATGTATGTGTATGTGTGTGGAGGGCGGAGGGTGCAATCCGATGCATTTTTACGACGAATGCAGTCAAAAGGCGCACGTGAGTGAACTTCGACCTGCGAGGTGCGATCAAAGTAAAAAAAAATACATATACAAGATGTCAAGGCATTCATTTCATATTTTCAATCACTTTATATTCAAAATTTTCAGGAAACAACACTCTCATCTATCAGATAATAATGTTTCCATACAGGTCATTATTTGGGAATTCAACACATTATTCTTCTTAAAACCAATTATTCCAACAAGTAATATACCTATTTTAATGTACCCATATATGCATTAATTTCTGATATATTAATTTCAATACTGTTTTTAATCTTACTATATTAATTTTATTAAAAACAATATAAACTAGAATTATGATAGAAGAAATGTTTCCATAATAAAGTGAATTTAAAAATTATAAAAGTTAAAATGACTATATGATGAATATATACGCTTGCAATGAAAATAAGGAAAGAATTTTAACTGTTTAAATTTTCATCATACAAATCGCATTATTAAAACAACAAATTATGAACTCTTAATTATGAATAGAATAAAATGAATAAAAATGTCAAATTTTCCTTATATTCAAAGGGAAACATAACACAATTTAAGAATATTTTAAAAACTGCAGACAATTTTATTAACACTATAAATAAAATACAATAAATTTTTATACAACATTTTTTCGCTACAATGCAGCCATAATATAACATATTTTGTTTAATAGATTATAGGGAGCAGTATTAAATAATTGAAATACTGTTTAAATTTCTTACTAACAATATAACAATACAATACAACAAGTTTGACAAAAAGAGATATCTTTAATAAGTCA